ATATCCCCTAAATACTCTCAACTTATATCCCCTAGATATTCCATACATATCCCCTTGATATCCCAAACACAAATCCAAAAGATACTTCACTCTCCTACACCTAAATACTCTACACACCTACCCTTGATACCCCACACTCATATCCCATAGATACGCCACACTCATATCCCATAGATACCCCAATCTCCTACATCCCAGACATACTACACACCTACCCTTGATACCCCACACTGATTACCCATAGATACCCCACACTCATATCCCAGAGATACCCCACACTGATTAGCCATAGATACCCAAAACTGATTACCCATAGATACCCCACACTCATATCCCATAGATACCGACACTGATTACCCATAGATACCCCACACTGATTAGCCATAGATACCCAAAACTGATTACCCATAGATACCCCACACTCATATCCCATAGATATCCGACACTGATTAACCATAGATACCCCACTCATATCCCATAGATACCCCACACTGATTACCCATAGATACCCCAATCTCCTACACCCTAAATACTCTACACACCTACCCTTGATACCCCACACTGATTACACATAGATACTCTACACTCATATCCCATAGATACACCACACTCATATCCCATAGATACCCCAATCTCCTACACCCTAAATACTCTACACACCTACCCTTGATACCCCACACTGATTACACATAGATACACTAACAACCTAGAGACATTACTTTAAATAAGACTGCTATGATCATAAATCCAACACACAATTTAGTTCCCTTTATGTACCTTGTATCAAAGAAATTTGCATAGAGAATCTAAACAAACAAGTTGCTTGTACATGAGAATAAAGGATAAAAATAATTTATGGTAAACACTTTAGATTACATCAAGAAGTATCATTATATAAAACACTGCAACACAATGTTCTTCCTACAATGTCAAGGTCACAACAACAACGGCTTGCCATTGTAAAACGACTGACATCAGACATTTCTATATTTCTGTCAATCAGAATGGGTGATGTCAGATTTATACAGAAGTACTGCAAGGAAAAAAATTAAGTCATATAATGGTACAAGTTATTTTATGTATACTTAAGATTCTTAATATATCTTATAAAAGTACATGTATATAAACATATACAGTTGTGGTAAAGGTCAACTCACGAAAAACTTTGTGTATACATTTAGCACACACCATCTGCATACAGACTATACTAATGTGCAGTTTGGTAAAAATGATTGGCTAATATGGTGGATTGAAAATAAAACAGAAATCTTGTGTATTTATCACTATACAGCAATCACAGGCATATCAAATTTTATTGGTGATTACAAAAGTCATTTTTAATTCAACAGTTTTCAAAATAACACTGGACCCTGAATTAATTAGTCGTTCTATTGTAATGGTTCACACCTCAGAAAGTGGCGAATGGTGTGCCTCGGGCAACAAAAATCCCCTGTATATGGGTATGTACCTGGTAGGGCTGGATGCTAAGCCTCCCATGTAACAAAAACAACACTTAAGATTCACCTGAGTATATTTTGTGTTTACAAAATGATAGAAAAATTAGAGTTATACAGAAGTAATGAAAATGACATTCCTTTCTGATGTTATGAAATTTTAGATGATTCATGGCCCAGACAAAAAGAGATGTCCATTTAATGTTTAAACATGTGATGTAAATGTGAGTGCCTGGACAATAAGGCTGTCACATGTGGCATTTTTTAAAGAAAACATTTTAAATTATATATAGCTATTTAGTCTGTATCTGATAGATCTACATGTGTTTAACCTATACATTTATGGTTTAATAAGGAAATATGCTAAGCTATACACCTGTATATTCAGAAAATAAATAAACACTATACCATTCTTATCTATAAGTAATTTCTAAATCTATATCAACCACGATAGCATCACACAACATGCACACAGATGTGTAATAGCATATTTTGCCCAGTTTTCCTATCATGCGCACATTGTGCAGACATCATGCCCACATAGTACATCGTGTCACATTGTGCAACCCCACAACTGTACATACTTTGAGATTTGATCTAAGACCCTTGTATAAATGTTCATTGGAAGTTAACCTAAGGAAATCAACAATAGTTCATATCTCCGCAGAGTAACACATTATCAAATTAACAAGAGGCCAAGTGGCTTTGATGGTCACCTGAGGTAAGTTATATTGAATATAAAGCTTTCAGTTTTTAAGTAATGATATGAAAAATAAGGAAAGGCATTGTTGTTTTGTGATCATTTCAAAGATTTGAGTAATAAATTATGCTCAAAAATGTGATTTTCCTATATGAACTTGTAAACATTACTCCCTTCCCGACTGCTAATATGAGACCCCGCAGTCATGAAATTCACAATTTTAATAAAGGCCCTTATATTAAGACCCTTCCATCAATGAAGAGTATTTGATTCTACCATATTTTGGTGTTGAGAAAAAGATTTTTGAAATTTTAGTCAACATAACCCCTTCTCTCATGCCCCTTGGTGATGGGGACCATATAATAAATAGTTCTGATTCACCTTGGCTATGGAAGGTTCCTATGGAATTTTGTTAAAATTTGTTAAAATTTGTTTAAGGGTTTTTAAGAAGTTGAAAATGTAAAAAGTTTATGGACAAATGGCGCTGGAAAATATGTGATTGCAATAAGGTCACCATGAGATTTTGTCTCAAGTTAACTAAACAAAACTAAGATGTTAAACATTGAATATTGTAACAATTAATATTTTGACAGATCTAATTCCTAGCATGAACACAAGCACATCATAAGTGATAAATTATAAATTTATCGGCTCAGTCATAAAAATCAAAAGGGCACAACATGAGACCATCAGAAACCTACCTGTTCTAAGAAAAATCTATCCAGTACTTTTCAAGAATTAGCAAAAACAATTAGTAATAATAAATTATCATTATCAAATTCTAAGATGGCCACTTGTCTGTCATTTTGTTTTTCTAAACAGACCCAAAATCAAATGTGCATAACATAGGACCACAGAGATAAGAAATTTGTCAAAACCCATCCACTACCTCCTAATACTGAAAACAAATTTTCATTGTCGAAAATCTATATTTCTAAATTCAAATGATGATGAAATTGAATCATTCTAAATTAGGAAGAAACATTTCTTCCACATTTCTAAATTGAAATCAGAAATAGAAAAAAAAAAAAAAAAGAAAAATGAAACATATTTTAATTAATTAGAAACCATACATGATGGTCACAATTTTCATGCCACTTTCATCAATTGTTTTTGATCTGGACAATGCATTTTCTGGCCTAGTTTGTAATGGTATTCTACTTCCACAACCTTTTGTTCATTGATACCAGTGTACATACAATGTATATAGAACTTGAATCACAAACTATCTATTGACATTTGTAAAAAAACAAAATCAGCAATTGTCTGCTGTGTTTATTGTGATCAGCCAGAGTAATTTGGGTAATGTGTCAAGCTGAAGGACTTATCCCATGACAGACAAGTCTGTCCATTTCTCAGCTTCATTGGCCAACGCTGCACCAACTGAGCTATCATGACCCTACAAAAATAATAAACCAAGAACAAATATTTGTAAGTGTTTTTCAAATGAAATTGTAATATTTGTAAATTCAAATGGTTATAATGAAAATATTGCACATGTTTTGTAATTTCCTACAGTTTACACTAATATAAAATTCCATGATGATATTTAAGTACTGAGTTCCTTACAGACTCTTCTGCTCTCACCTTTTATAATGCTAAATGACTATGATTTTGTATTTTATCTCATTGCTTGGAACCTCTCCGACAGGTTTTAAGTCGGAAATCCCATATGGATATACAATACCAACAGCAGTAAAACGGAGGGTGGAATCTTCAATGCTACATGGATTTTTCAGTAAGACCACTGCTCCTTCACCAGTAAACACAAGACAAAACATTGATGTCTTTGGTTTCTTTTCCTAATTTATGAAAATTTAAATCTTTGTATGTTGCCCTTTAAAACAATTAATCTTATGAATTTAATTCAATTTCTTCCTATTTTACATGTTGATTTCAAAAGTGAATCGTTTGCTATTAGCAAAGTAAAACATCACTCTGTTGGAGCAATCGTACATACCAAGAATGTAAATACTATAAGGAGACTTTATCACTTCATCCTAAATCAATTTCATTTCACCAAAGAGGTAAACAATGTACCATGATGAAAATTTGTTTACTGTTAAAGTAGAAGTAGTTTTGGACACATTGCTTAAATTGTACATACATTTCTGCTTAAAATTAACCTCCATGTTGCTATAATCTTACTTCTCTATTCTGTGAGATACATGTTGATGAAATCTTACCCTTCTAAACTCTTCACAATCACAACTCATCAATGACAATTAAAATAACTATCAAATTGATTTGCATAGAAAATCATTAGATTCAGACTAAGAAAATAATGCTAAAATTCATCAATATCTACCAGCTATCTTATGGTATGCATGATCTTATAATACATTGATTGATACCTCAGAGTCTATTTATACCTTACAGAGGCCAAAAGTCAGAGTAAGCAACACTTTATATACAACACACAATACCACCTTCTGAAGAATCTAGTTCATTTAGTATGTGGGATACGGTCTGGTTTTATAGTTGTCAAGGTCTGATTTTAAAATATCAGTAACAGCATTAAGTGACCTTAGTTTGATTCAAGAAAAACTATTGCCTTATAATGTCTCCACTGCAATCCTGAAAACTTTATGTAAAATAACACCATATGTCTCCCAAATCCACTACAGGGATGGACAGACAGAAATTTGGCAACAACTGGAGGAGGATGAACAAAACTTGATCAAGGTGAACAAGATGGCAAATAATATAAATGGCCAGGGTATCTAGTACATGAAGTTAACTATAGCCATGTATATACAGAAAAAATTATCTGTACATTTTGTAGAATGATCTTATATAAGATATATAATTGAATAATTGCATCTTTCTACTGCCATTTAAATCAATCATAAACGTACAAAGGGTCTAGGGTGGTAACGGATGTGTACTCTGCGTGACCTAATAAACCTGTACATAAAGAAAACTACAAGTAGCATACTAGCACACACCACCAAAAATAAGGTGTTAGGGGGACTAGTACTATTGTTGACATGTGCTAAAGTATCTACAGATAGCGTCTCTTTTTTTATTCTCTCTACTTTATCCTCCAGAACCTGGACTGGCTGAAGTACTTTCTTTTTAGTCTCTGCAACATCCCCCTCTTCTTCGTCAAAATTGTTAAAATTATTATAGCCATTATGTTGCTCTTTTTCATCATAATAAGTATAATCTGTTTCATCTGCTTTCGGAATCACTGGTTTCCTGCCAATTTGTATATGATTAACATCATTCTTAAAATTATTCAAAGCTTTCTCTTCATCATAGTCTCCGTCTTCATTTTCATTGTGATTATTGTCTTTATAGCCCTCTTCCTCATAACCATCACGTACATCTTTATGACCAATATCAGCATTCACTACAGGTCCACGATCAAATTGCACTTGCATGTGCTGTTTATCCTTGTTCTGATCCTGTACACCTTCCTTATTTTTTTCATCATAGCCCTCTTCTTCATTTCCATTATGAGCATAATAATTTCCATCACCCTCTTCATTATTGAGATTCAACTGAGCTTGGTTGTTTTGCTCCTCAATTTCCTCATAATCTTCTTCAATACCAAGTTTGGGAGCATTTCCATTTATCACATGACCTGCATCGGCTATCCCAGCCTTGAATGATTTCATTAAACGTTCATCTCTCACCAAATGTCCCTTGTCCTCATCTTCACCCAAGAGAGAAGCATTTGTTACAGACTGGTGCCTCACGACTTCTCTACTCATGAGAAAGCGGTGTTGACTGGGATCTATTATTTTTCGCTGTATGTCCATAGGCCCAGGATCAATCAGGTAACGTAAATACATGACTAGTGCCCCCGCTGCCACCGCAGTCTTGTGGGCAAGGCAACCCTCTGTAAATCAAAATTTAAATGAGGTTAACAAAGATAAAGCAATCTTAGTAAGACTGCAGTTTAAGAAAGTTCATTCATATGTTTTATGATCACAGGATCTGAATGAGCATTTTAAGGATCATACAATATATACAACTTCCCTTGTAAAATTTATCAAAGTTGTGTTGTTTTCAGAAAGTTTACATACCTATAAGATACCCAAGCTTGAATTGCAGTATGAATACTGCTGCTTCTCCTTCAAAGTATTAAGATTGAAAGATTAAGATAAAAAAATGTAATTAAGCATTAAATTACATAAACTTGAATACTTCTTGGACATACAAATTCTGAAACAAAACAATAAAAAATAAACCATATATTATGTTTTCAAGATACCAGTAAAACTCAAAGGAGAGGAGTACATGTACTTGGATAATATACAAGTTCTAATAAAACATACATCTAAGTTTTATACATACCAGTACATCTAAGAGATGTAGCTGAAAAAATCCCCCAATTCCTTGAGAAAGTGCTTTTACAAAAGACTCATTCCCAATTAATATAGCATATATGTTGATAGCTAGTATCCTCTAGTATCATTTATTTCCTGATTCTGTACCAACGTACCTTCGTTATGGTACTTATAATTCCACATCAATTTTTCTTCATACAATTCTATCCTAGATAAATCTTGGTGACTTGTCTTTCATTTGCTCTATTGTGTTTTATCATTTTAAGGGTGTGTCATAATTAGCAGAGATTTGAATGAATTCAGAAATGTTAGTTTTGCTTTTGAAAGTGTTAATTTTGTATATTAACATCTTTTTTTAAATTATCTTTTCAATCACTGTACAATGAGAGTTTTGTTCCCTGACTCAATCATCACTAATGATTCAAGTATATTTGCACCAATATATAGTCTTTGTTAAGCATCTGTTTATGACTAATTAACATCATTTCAAATTAAAACCCCACAAGTTACTTAACCATTAATTCATTTGCAAAGGCAAAAGGCAAAAACAATATTTTGATTCAACAGTGTAATTACCCATTTGAAATGAAAATGACCAGAAACAACCATTTACCGATCTCAATTTCTTTCACTCTGCAGTATGCAGATACCAATGTAAAAAAAAAGTTTGCTATCTTATGGGGTGGGAGCAGGGAGTTTTTCTCCTGGAACAGCCCTGAGATCAAAAAAAAGTGTGTTGCACTAAATTGCACAGTTATGTTCAGTTAACTCTGCCATTCAAGTGGATATTTGTGACTTTATCATCATAACAAATATAATAGTGCACCTTATTTGGTTCTTGATTAAATAGAAATAAGAAAACACTGAATCACCTGTTCAGGAAATCAGATTTCACTTGCACGATATTTCCTTGTGAAAATATTGAAATCGTTTCTTCTTTTCCTTCTATAGAACATTCACTGATGATAGATAACAAAAATGTTTCAGTTTGATGCTATATATCTACAGAACATAATTGTACTTGGAATGAAAAAGTATAACTTTCTCAAAAAATTTACCAGCAGTCCTAAATTTCTGTTCTCACGAGTGCAAGGAATGACAATAAGCAAACACACCTTACCATATGATAGAAATGATCATAGTTTTTCCGTTTTCTTTCCTTATAATTTTCCATAACCAGTTAGCATTGCTGATAAGCAAACTAAGAAGTCAAGTTTTCAGCCATAGTAAATACATGCTGAACTCAAATAGACTCTGCTTGATATTTATTCCCTTTTTCACATATGTATTTTTATGTTGATACACCGATTAATTGTTTGAATTCAACAATACATACGTTGTTCCAAAAATAAATCTTGGTATTTTGGTGTGATGATTCCATGGAGATGCAAGTCTGTCATCTCATAAAAATTGTTGGCACAAAACTCCTCCCTGTAGTCCTCAAGTGATCTTTGTCCTTTTTCGGTCAGCATTCCATTCAGTGTTGACCGACATCCATGCTGGAAAATTGCAATTTGATACTTCATTGTCTTTGTGTCACAGGTTTCTATGAACCATAGAGCTTCTCTAAATGTAAGAGTTATATTCATTGCAAGTATAAAACTTGATGCAGACAAACCTGTTCATCACCATATATGATAAGGTCATTTCATGCATAAATAGGAACAGACCTGCCCATTTTAATTTAGGCATCATAAAGTTTTAGCAAGGACCATCATAAAGCAAAATAAGATTAGTAGGACCGACCTGATTTCATGAACCAAAAACCCTGGTCTAACTTGTAAAACCTGTAAATGAAACAACCTTGAGCTTGGAACCTTCTTAGATTTAATTGTATATATATTCAACTTTTCCTTCTCATGAAACAAAAGAGTTTAAAATATACATTAACATGATGCTCCATGCATAAAACATTTTTTTTTGGCATGACCTTATTAGCAAGACATGTAAGCATTTAAGCTGCACCCATTGAAACAAGAGGTACTATGGGTCTGCATCGCTCACCTGGTATTCAATGTTCATCAAAGTACAATTGGTGTTTAACACAAATACAGTAATAGTTAGGAAGGGATAACTAATTTAATCGTCGATTAATTATCCCTTCCTAACTTCTAGTTTTTGTTTAATCGCCCTGCATACCATTAGATATCCATACTCACAGCAAAGTACCAACAGAATAAATCCACCTATATATACCTGACGTTGGCTCCTTCGTCTTGAAGTTTCAAATACAGTAATACATACAACATTGGCATTCAATTTGGGCACACCCAATCAATTTTAACCAATTTTCACAACCAAAAGTTTTTAATACTCAAAACACTGACACTTATGACCTGATTCCATTTCTTTCTTTTCTTCAAAACTTGGGTTTTTACCTAGATAAACCTTCACTTTCTATCAAATACCTTGCATCTGGGCATTTTGATTAGTCATCAGAAGTTGTTTTACTGTTAACAAATCTAACCCCTGTGACCTTGAATATGGGTCAAGGTCATTTCATTTTCCACCCTTTGTCAAGCTTCATCATAGGAACCTTTCAGTCACATACTATACCTCTGTGCCTGTTGGTTTGACAGAAGAAGCATTTTTCAGGTTTTAACAAATCTGACACTTGTGACCTTGAATATATTTTTGCAAACTTTGTCAGGCTTCATCCTAAGAACATATTAGAGCCAAATACCATGCTTCTGTACATTTTGATTAGTCAGAAGAAATTATCTAAAAATCTGACCCTGGTCATTTCTTTTCGCGAACTACGTCAGATTTCATCCCAGCAACCCACCAGCCAATTACACTGAAATTTGGTCCGTTGATTATCAAGAAGTTGGTTAAATGGGAAAGTTGATGCTGGACAGAAGCCCCACCATGACATAAGCTCACTTGGCCCTCCAGACCAGGTGAGCTTAAAGTCAAAAGCATCAGCAAAATCATCTGTAGTGGGTGAACAAGTGAATTTTTTTACTTAGAGGTTACAGTGCTGAACTAATTATTTTTTGCTGGACCCACTATTGAGGCCACTTCATCTATTTAACTGAAAACAACCCAGATTTTGACCTGTTCTGCCAATACTGTCCACAGGAGCTGGTGGGTGATACCATAGCCAGAAAGACCAGTTGTTGTCATCATCTGGATACAAAAGTCACTAATCTCACATGTTGTCTTGGAGTTGGAGTTGGTCCCCATCAGTTCTGCCATACACCTGTCTGACACATCCTCATTCAACTTGGCTACATTGAAATGATGCATATATTAAGCATATTTATTCTCGTGAAAATAGAAAGATGTTATGTAAAATCAGAGATCCCTGCAGAATCCTAGTACTCATTGTATCGTCTGATCGTTCTTGACTCTACATCTAAAACTTACAAACTCTCCATATTCTGAGAGAAAGCAGATGTTTATCCTTTATTTTAATAATCGCAAAAAGGGTCTGTGAAAATGGAATTATACGCTAGATAATTCTTCACCAAGATGTAAACAGGAAATTTATTGAAAATAAAACAAAAAAATTGAGTTTTAAAATTTCATAGAAACATCTGGTGAAATATTTAAAATACTCGTTTATATGTGATTAGTTAATAATCTAAAGCAAATCAACATAACAAATAATGTAACAGCCATGACCAGTTAACTGTTAATGCATGATTCAAATCTAGAACTATCAAACACATACTTTTTCTTCGTCGTAGGTATAAATCTGGGTGCCAGCGAAGCTGATTCTTAAGTTCTTTATGTTTTTTTAAGAACTCCCAAGGCTTTCCAACCACAAATCGCAGTTTCTGGAAATATTCCTCGTCATCTTTTTGAACATATTCCACAGCACTGTTATTAGCTAGTGTAGAGACAGACTTCATATCTTTCAGTTTGTAAATGATGCCAATGTAATATTTTTTGCGACTAGTGTAATATACACCAGCATTTTTCATTGGCTGTACCGGTCTTGAAATCCATTGTGATGTTTTAATATAGACAATGACATTAAGTCATGAATTGAAAATGGCTTCTTCTATTTGATTTTGTCCACCACATCTTGAGATAAAGATGTTATGAGGTCAAGTTTATTTGGTAATGAGGTCATACTTCAATAATAAAAAAAAAACTGACTCCAACATAATGTCCCAAATTTTTGTGTTTTTTTACATAGTCTTTTTTCTGTAGTTATACTTATATGTTGAAATAGGGTGCTTTGTATGATGTTTTGAAGACAATATGTTTATGGACTACATCTCTTGACAGAGTAGTCGATTATGTGATTAAGTTAATAACATCAACAATTTCAATGTGTTTTTTCATTGCTAAGGTAAACATACTTTTCTTTAGTAAAAAACAAAGTCTTTGGAAAAAGTCAACTGAATTTTAAATGAGTTATTACCACAGATCACAGATTTAAAATTTGTGGATTTCCACTTAGTGGACTACTTTCTCTGATGTCCTTTTTTTGCATTCAAAAACAAATATTTCGGCTTGTGTCTTGATCTTTAAAAAATGGCTATTTGGATGAATATTGCAAAACTGATAGCATAATGGCCTCTTCATCTATACTCGTGAAAAGTATCCTTGAATATTTTTGTGTGAAAGTATAAAATTAAGTATTTTCATATTATTTGTTGAAAGACAAATTTGTTTTTTTGCAAACGGTTGCCTTGAAAATTACAAAGAATGTCTTATTCAGAAAAATTAAGAATAATAAGTGAATTTCTTCCTGCTACACTTATTCTTCCACCTGTATTTGAAAAAGGAATACAAAATTATAGTAATTTTTTTCCTTTTAAAATACTTCATATGATTTAACTATTAAAAAATCATCCCTACACCAAAAGAATTTTTTACTTATCAGAAGTGCACATCCTTTCTGTCAGAAGGTAACTTCCCTGAGTTAAGTGATGAAGTATCTTTAATTATAAGGTTTGCAAAAGTAAAATCTTAGACTTGTTTTATAAAATTTCATAGGAAAGGAAAACCATTTACAATCCTATTAAATGGATTTCAAGTGGTGAACCAGTTAAATGATTTACTTTCTTTTTCTTTGAGTTAAAAAGTAGATTTCAATGAATAACTATGATTTGTCATCATTTAAAAGGAATTTAAACTTAGACTTTTCTCATAGGAAGTTACTGAAATTAATGATATTGGAAATATGTATATCATATCACAGTTACAGTACGTCGCTTGTTAGAACAAACATTTGTCTCTAAAATAATAATTTAATGTCTATAACAATCTGGCACTGCCTGGTACAGTCCAGTACCACCCGAAACAGCAAAATACTGTTTAGTCAGGCTATTCTGGATGGTGCCAGATTGTTATTAGTATCATCAGCAATGGTGGCGAATTTGAATTTCTAAGTCGAAGCAGAGAGGAAAATAACACCCTAGAATGGCTTAAAGATACAAATTATAAGTTCTGAAAAGGTTAGTAAGGCAAACAAACTTGTTTCGTTCTGAAATGAACCTTAGATTTCTGTGTACATTGCTAGAATAATTGTTTAACTCTCTGCATCAATGGTTGATGGTTTCTACCACTTTTATAAACACGTCCGTTCTATCTCTAAAATGAGCTGTCAATAAAAATGTAAATATCAACAACAGCATAATAAATATGAATATTGACTTTAAAGCATCATCTTAGAGACTGAAATGTTCGGTCTATTTTGGAGTAATTAATTAGTTACTCAAATGCAGTATCAAACTTTACCGTTGTCCCTGAAATGTATGACTCGGCCTATATGTATCCATTACCCATAGGGATTAAATGTTTACACTAAATAACAGTTGAATAACTGCAATTGACTCCTTTGTAGTATTTTAAAATCGTGATCTAAGACAGCTAACGCTAGATATTCTTGTCATCTTAGCAGACAATATAATGATCAATATGTATATCTCAATTTATTATCAGAATTTTAAACACCTGTGGCTAGTGATATGACCAGATGACAGTGTCAGAGTTGATACCTTACCCTCTACAACACGCAATCCAAATAAACCGTCCACGTTCAAGTCTTCGTAGTTCAATTTATAGTAATTTACAAGTCTTTCCAATGCATCAACCACCTTTCCGATGTAAATCAAACGATCTTCTGACAAAGAACATGGTAAAAGTAATATGAACAGCCCAACAGCCGAGACTTTCGTCGCCATCTTTAATTTCTTGTATATACTAAAACCAGATGCGGAAATGCGTGCAAAATGTCCGCCTTTGAACTTGTGAACCGAACGAGCAGCAAAGTTTTCTAATGAGTAAGCTTTTTGTATTTTTTTAAAATAAAATTTCGTTGAAAATGTGTTTTTACATTTCAATATTTTAATATCGATGTTTCATATTCAATGCTTAACATTTGGAAAATTGTTAAGTGTTTGGTAAAAAATATACAGCAGTCGGAGTTTACTCACTTTATGCAGTAATAGTTTAATCGTTAATTATTTCAGCTCAGAACAACTTGTTAGTGCGATATCATATTATTACATTGAACCTGTTTAATGCAGTTACGTCAATTGCAAATGAAGTGCACACTGTTACTGTATAATTCCCCCGTATAATTTATTTATACTACTGTTTGGAAATGGACACTATTTTTAGTGTATATGCATATAGTTGCCGTGAAGATTGCTGAGAATTTAAAAGTGTCAGAGTACATTTTCGCCAGCCAAGGTCTAAAGTCCAACTACTTCTTCGTCAACAAATGGTTAAACAACAATTTTACAATGTCTCCGTGACTCCTCCCGTGTCCGGGTATAGTCTCACCGACGAACGACAACGTCTTGGTGAAAAGCAAGTGCGTGACCACTACAACAACTGACCATCCCGATACGCCTACTCCTTTTTCAAGAATCAAGAGGAAGGAGAGGAGGAATAAACGGATCAAAACAAAACTACAATAAAAAATAAAAACATGTAATTGAACAAGAAAAGACGTATTATACGAAGACAAATGGTATACATGGCCATTTTCACCTAGTTCTAATGACTATCTAGTAAATAAGCATACTAAAGGGTAATACAAAGAAGTACGTGTATTTTGATGCTTTATAAGTGTGTGAAGTTTGAGAATCCTCACAGGAATGAAAAACGAAACACCCATCCGATGCAGTTCTATGAAGCGATAAAATTAAGAATATTCAGAACTTTTATTAGCATTTGTCCACCTTCATACGTATAGACCTCCCAACGAAACGCCAGGGCTGTCCTGACGTAACCATTAACGAAATCTCAGTAGGTCTTAACGTCGTAATGTCTGAAATTTAAATTGAAAAATTGAAAATGTATATTTATTAAAACTGAAAAAGTACACATCATTTACCCTGCAAACCTTACTTGCATTAACTAAGACCCGTAGAAGATAGTCTGTGAACAATAGGTCATTTTCGTATCAATTTTAAGATCTTTAATAAGTCACAGATACAATGTATCTTCGTTACGCACGATTAAATGTCCGAAATTTCGCATAAGAAACAAAATAATAAAACTATTGACATTTTGCGTTGTTTGCCATGAAAAGCTGCCAATTCAGAAGTTTAAAAATGGAAATCCATAAATTGACATTGCACGTTATAAATGTATTCATTTTTACTACTACTAAACAGATGGTCCAGAATTTTAGAATTTAGAAATCAAGTCCAGCATATGGACATACTTTGCAAGAAGTTGTTCTCACAAATAAATTATTATCACATACCAAAACAGTACCACAAAACACTTGAAAATAACACGTTTATGACATAATTGGTACTTTTCGTGTCAGGCGGAGAGAAACGTGACAGAAGACGGGCGTTGGGATATATGGGAAAACACAGATGCTGAATGACATGACCAGGTAAGGCTACATGACCAAGTAGCATAAAAGGCCGGTCCGCGAACAGTCTCATCACAACATCGGTTGCTGAAGGTACGATCACAATGAACGGACTTCTCTTTGCCTGTTTGTTGCTTGTCGCTGGTAAGTTTTCATTTTTACCTGTACTCTATACTGTATATGCTCCTCAACGTCATCAGGATATTCCGAATAATGATACGACTGGTTGAATTGTTAACAGCCTGATTTATCCATTGAAACCAATTTTTATCTAAACTTAATATAACATCACCTAGTATTAATCGTCAACAAACTCTTGTTTCATTGACAATTAACATTATACAATCTTCAATCATCATGTGATGATATTTCCGATATTAATGTTACAATGAAAGCGTTATCTATGGTTTAATATGAACTAAAACAGATCATACGGCCGTTCATATAACGCCAATCTGGAACGAAAATTTATTGTTACTAATCCTTGATGACATTATTTAGAGCGTTTGAAGTCAAAACTGTCTGTAGTATCTTGTCATGTAATTGATAATCAACGCGTTAGTCTGAAAAATAATACGTTCTCCATTTTTTCACCTTTCCAAATTATATCAGATTGTAATTTTTTCTAAATTAAAACAGTACAGATGTGAATGGTCACTGATAATGATTTTGAAAATTTATATAGCAAGTTCCCTTCTTATGATTGCTGCAATAGCATCAATGTGGGGAGGTTTTGACTAGCTCTTATTACGTAAACCGAAGCTAGAAATATCATGAATTTTCGTCCGTAAATTTTTGAACATCTAATGTTTTTAAATTTCACCGTTATTCTATGTAGATCATAGAATTATCCAGTATATCCTCTATAAGATAAATTGAAAAACAAACTCTACTTCGTGATCATTTGTATATTTTTCTAAAAAGCTAACCCAATTCTACCGTCTTTAGGTCTTTACGCTATTTCATAGACAATGTTCAATTATGATATGGTTTCTCAACGAAGAAGTGGAATCGGTGAATGTTTTTGTAACAGAGGTTATTATTTATTTCAATGCTAGGATTCGAACAAGGGACACCTAACTTACTGATCTGACGCTCAACCGATCGAGCTAAAGAGAAGTTCTCACTAGCCGAGCGGTGTGTTGCGACTAATACCAGTTATATTTTGATTTAGTCTTTCTCTGAATTTGAAGCGCTATAGCAACAACATCCGGTACATGATTGAATCAAAATGATCAGTTGTCAAATTTTGTTAAGTCTAGGGAGAAAAAAAGAACAAAACAAAAGAATTTTGTCTGATTTTTTTGTCAGAAAGGCCGAGAACTTCTTTTAAAATGTTAAAACGGATTCGAATTTAGTGCACAACTTTTAAAGATGTACACTAGCTTTTAAAATAGAGACTTTACCTTAATAAACTGGAGTTTTGTGGGTAGACAGTTATAGACTGTCCTTTTGTAGATGTGGAAATGTTCCAACTGACTTTCAATGTGAACTCTCTTCAAATTAACAATGTACTTAAACTGATATGAATGATTTTTCCTCGTTCCAGTTTATGTTGTGTTTGTTTTTTCTCTCTCTCCCTCTCTCTCGTCACTATGCTTGTGGGGAACTTGGAAAACCACTAACGTTATGGGAAATACGCTTTCCCATTCACCAATGCCATGGCCGCAACATTTCCCTGTCAATGGTGATACCGATATTACACTCTCCTCTTATCTTTTCTAAAATTCTTTTGTTAACGCGATCATTTACGCCACTGAAAATTGTTTTCTACAACCAACTGAAGAAAAAGACCAAGACATTCCGAATAGGAGATAATACCCACAATTCTCGCGGGTCTTCCCTTAACACCAACTCTGCCTATGACAATTATATAGGAGATCAGTTGTGATGATAGTGAGTTATATTCTGGTGCAGAATTGTTGTACAAGTAACTTGTACAGGTAAATCAGATAATGAAGTTCTGATAACTGTTCAGAAAACTGTTAATAACTGTAGAATAAAGGAATCAAATATCAAACTGTTCCTATCTCAAGCTGTTCAATGGGAAATGTATTATCATATTTCAATCTGCACTTTGAAGCATCAATTTCTCATTGCTTGATTCATTACTTGACTTTTTTCACATATATAATTTAATCATGTACTTTTTTCCAACGTAGTGTAAAGTGTGTTTAATTTGAGTGATATTATTATCTGTGTGGTTTGATACAAGTACAGTACAGGATGGCTAACGCTCAGATCAACGTTAAGTTCATCACCAACAGAAGAGACGGACAGAACCTTTCTCATAATCAATTCATCTACAGACAGATTCGAAGGAATGGCAGCAGGACATTCTGGACTGTTCAACATCCCTCTCGACAGTAGACAACATAGCAGCTAACTTTGGACGAAATCCACACAACCATACCTTAGACCCAGCCAGTGTTGTAGCCAAACAGATCATCAACCAGATCACCAACAAATGCGTAGAATCTGTCCAACCCATTCCGTCCATCTTTGAGGAGGAGCTCAACCAACTCCGAGACAACGACTTGGATGACACTTCCAAGGCCGTGGTCCAGCGACTGCCAACATTCTACACAGCCAAATCGTCTCTCTACCTTGCTTGCCGCAAGCATTTCTCCTCTTTGACGACGGTGAACAGAACAACAGGAT